GAGCTCTAGGGTAAGGTGGAACCCACTTATGGGCACATACGAGCTAAGTGAGGGATCTGCAGCGGAAGGGACAACCATGATACAGTTTTGGACAGCTCAGCACCCAGCTTCCCACTGGACTTCTGGGATTGCCACTGTCACAGCACAGAATGGCTGGGGTCATCAGGGTGGCTCAGAACAGGCTTTATGTAGGCCATACCATCTCATCCTCGCGACACTTCTGTGAGGTTGGTACCAGCACATTACCTCCTTTCTACAACCACGGGAAACAAAGCCCAGGAACTGGGGCACTCGCCCAGGTAGGTCCTCCTGTGGCGGGCTGGCAACAGAACAAGGATTCCAGCCCAGTGGCCAGGCTCCGGAACCCTGCTGCACCCCGTCCCTCCCTGCACCCAACCAATCCTCCCTGTGGCTCCTTCACAAATGAGGTCAACAGAAGAATTATAAAGAGCCTTGTTTGACCATCTGAACAACAAAAAAGCCACTATTTAAGCTGCAGTGCCATGGGCAATGCGACCCTGCTGTGCTAATACCTCAGGCTCACCTCAGTGGTCCCAGAGGCTGGGTCCACCCCCACCCCCACCACATCTGGGTTGAGCTAGTAGGCCCCCAAACAAAGAGCAAATTGGCAGCAGAGGAAGAGCAACCCTCGCCCAGGTCCCTTGTGCACCATGCCTACTCTGCAGAAGTCTGAATAAGCGGTGGCCGAGGCCACAAAGTCAGCCTGGGTGCAGCAACCAGTCCCTGTAGGAAGGTACCAAAGGCTTTCTTTGACTCCCTAACACCTTTGGCTTTGCTAGAGACTTTGCCTGGTTTTCTTTGCACCACAAATAGGAACCTCTGGCAATGGCTGTCCTGGTTTAGCGCCTAACAGGGAGCCAACATTCAGTGGGCACCTGGGAAGCGAATGCAGACTTCTGGGGGCACTGGTAGAACCATAACTTACCACTACTCCAAGACCTCTGAAGGTCACCGTGGCTGTGCTGTAATTTTGGCCTGACTTCCTACTAAATCAACCTTCAGCTATTGTCATGTTCCTCATGACTAAAACACTCAGGGTCACTCCAGGGGAACTGGACTGCACAAAATAATCAGACAAGAGACAGAGAGACCTTTTTCTTTAGGGTCCTGTGATGGCTCCTCTGACCTTAAGGGTCGGCAGAAAGAGAGCATGTGCGGAGCCCTTTGATTGAGGAGAAGCCATTCAAATGAGGCAAGGGATCAGGTTTCGGGGGTTGAGTCTAGCTTCATGTTTTCTGCTGTCAGCAGGTTGACTGCCATCTAGGAAGGCCACACCCAAAGGCAGACAAGAGAAGGGGACACACAAAGAGAGTTTCCATGGAACATTCTATCCCAAACAGGGAAAAGGGGTAGTATTCAAAGGAATAGGTGAGTGTAGCTCAACCCCATGGTGACATGCCTACACCTGAAGACACACCCTCAACCTCCTGGACCAGGACGTCGTCCAGGTCACTACAAAATGTAGTGACCAGTGACCGGTCAAAGCCTTTCGCTTCAGGATGGAAGGCGCGAATCATTCGGAGTGGCACCCTACAAACTATCACAATTCCATAGTGAAAATTATTGAGGATAAAACCTAATCAACCAAAGCAAGCAGACAACAAAATTATAATAGAACTCCTAAAATATTTACATCTTACAGATGTACTCCAGGATTTGGGGACACATACTCTATCTTCTGCTGATATTTGCTAATTAGTAGCTTGAGACAAAAAATTTCCTATAACTATAGTAATCTTTCATTGGTATTTAATTTGAAAGTGCTCTTTAAGAAAGTAAAAATGTCAGTTCTTCAAGGTAAATCAGGTTCTTTGCTGTTTCCATTGTACAGACAGATGACTCAGTATTCACTGGTATTTTGCATTCTAGCCAGGGATGAGTTGCTGAGGTGGAGCTGGTTGGAGAAAGGATCTTCTCTGCCATATTCCCTGTAATAGATGGAAAAAACCTATAAAGGATGGGTGCCGGTAATAGAGAATGAAAGGGGTCCTGGACAAGAGGTTGATTGCTCGTAAAATCACCAAAAACTGACCTTTGACCCAGATACAAAGTAACCCAGGCATGGATAGAACCCAATGGAAACATGGTCCTGGACGGCTAGAAAATGTGTGATATTCCTAACAATCATATGCTTAATTTCCAAAATACATTAGACCATAACGGACAATAACCTACTCACAAACTTTAGACAGTAGGTAAAGCTGATACCGCTGGTCACTGGTGACGAGTCCTGCTCCCCACATGTTGAAGTAGAACATTAGAGAAGCACACCCAGGCAAGTAGGTGAAGCAGGTTTATTTTAAAAGGGGTAACATAGACTGCTCCCCGTGAGGGAGAAGGGGCCACAGCTGGTATCCTGATCCCAAGAAGCATAAGTGTTCTGCCCTTTTTATATGACCTAGACTTCCTTTGTTCTCCGGCCTTTTCCCCCTTATCTTTCTCCTTCCTGCCCAAGTGACTAGGCCCAGGAGTGCTTGGTGGGATGGCCCAAAGGTGGCAAACAGTGGGCTGAAGGGGAAGGGCAGGACAGTCCGGCACAGGACACATTAATTAACAACTTTATAGCTCCCTGTAGGGAGGGGTAACTCCTGGGACAGGTGACCTTAGCAACAGGTGGGAGCAGGGGCAGGTTCTTGATAAGGGTGGAGGAAGGCTCTGAGGAATTAACATTTCCATCCCTCAGGGACAGTCTCCAACTTGCTCCATTCCATCTGACCTGACTCATCTATCAGTCAATACAGACTGGCTGCCTAATTCTGGCTTCAAACTGATCTAAGGACCCCTCACCTCTATGCCGAGCACCGTGTGAGTCCATCTTCATTCACCTAGGTAGAGGCTCCTTCCTCTCTGGCCTGCAGGAGAAGGTAAGGATTCCGTCCAGTTTGTCAAGGGAGGCTCCAGCAGGTAATCCCTAAGGCTGTACCCAGAACACACTGTTTCACAGCCAGGAGTGACCCCAGGGTTGCACCCCCCGAGGGAGGACTTGATGCCCCTCCGGGAAAGGCCTGTGAACCCCCATGGTGCTCCCTGAGGAAGGCCAGTCTGCAGCCCCAGGCTCCGAGCAGCCTCTCCTGGAGAGGCCGTGGGACTTCCTTAAAAGCTGAAGGCATCTTCCTTTTGTGACTCTACACTGTTGAATTTATATTTTAAGCAGAGCCTATAATCTAGATCATAGTCAAAATCAACCACTTTTAAAGGCTCTTAACGGGTTTGAAACACTGCCTTACATCTTTGTTCAACAGGAAGAATGAGAGCACAGCAGAGTGTGTCACTCAGTATTCTATTTGGTTAAGTCCACTGTCAGAATTTATTCTGAAAATGTCCTAAGGAAACAAGATGGAGTTAGTTATGTATTTCCTATCAGACACAGAGAATATCAGTGGTAACTTCATTTTTTAAAGATATGAATATTTATAAAATTGAAGAACACATATATTCACAAGTAAAATTATGAACCAATAATAATTTGGGTGCAAAATCTGACCCATCTCATCATCAAAAAAACATTTGACAATTTACTCCAATATCCGGTTTTCTTTAATAAATTATAGTTCTTGAGCTTTCTATTTGGAATGGCTTTCTTCAAAATAACTTCTGCTCAGGATAGTAACCAGATGTTATTAAATTACACACTCACATCAGGTGATCACCTCTCTGACCCCCAGGACAGCTACCTTTTGTATGACTCCACCTGCTAACATAATGGACTTACCTCTACACATGAAGTGAACAGGAAGTCAAATTAAATCCTGATGGTCATGTCTGAGTCATGACCACTCCAAACTGAAATCAGTGATTGTACATGAAAGTAGTCCATAATGATGAATAAGAAGTTTTAAGTTAACATGGGTATTTTCCCTATATAACATAACATATCTGGATATTCCAAATATTGGTTTGACCAAAGTACTGACTTTCATCCTAATGCATGGGTGTTACATCCGTACATAATGCCAGTTACGCCAGATGGTAACATTTCACGTAGGTCAGTCTTAAATCTAAAAAGCATGTGTTACTCATAATAAAAACTGGCCTGAAAGGGAGAAACTAACACTGTTTATGAAGAAAGATATAACTTTGTACAAGTTGGTATCTGGAGTATCTGCCAAGAAAATCTTGAATCTGAATACGTCAAAAACAAGCCGGGTGTGTCGGCACATGCCAGTAATCCCAGCGACCCAGGAAGCTGAGGAGCAGGACTGCAGCCTGAGCCAGCCTCAGCAATTTATTGAGGTTCTAAGCAACTTAGTGAGAACCTATCTCAAAATAAAAAGTAAAAAGGGCGGGGGATGTAGCTCAGTGGTAAAGCAATCCTGGGTTCAATCCCCAGTATCATTAGAAATAAATAAATAAATAGTACTTTAACAATAAGTATTAGTAAGGTTAAAATTCATTTTTACTATAGACTTGCAATTGAGCAGATGAAATATTTTGATAAGAATTTCTGTCTTCACAAATGTGGGTCTGGTATACATGTAGGAGTTACTTTGGCAAATTTTTATTTCGACTTTCATTAATAGTCAATTTAAGTATGAACCATGTAATATTACATGTATAAAGGAAAATTGGTACTATTACTAATTAAAAAAAAAAAAAACACACAGAATTGAAACATGTGAAATAAATCATTAGTACATAAAACAATTAACCAGACTGGCCCACCTGCTCAACAGCCCTGCTAATTTTAAGCACTCGACATGTTTGGCTGAGATCACCTAATGATTACAGCACTGCCAAGTATTGATTAGTATTGATCATACATCTTAGTAATAACATAAATGAGTTTTTAACAAACTATTATATTCCTTTGCAATTTTTAATTTTTCAACTTAGTTTTTAAAAACTTTTCTCAGTACTTAAGAAAAATATTGTAGTTTTATAAATGCAGAAAGCAAGCCCAATCACTAAGTCACTCTTATGTAATAGAAAACTGTTGGTGATATTTGGGTCGCAAAATGTTAAACAGTGAAGACATTAGAGACAGTGAAAGGTTTTATTTTATTTTTTACTTTCATCCAAACACACCCTTTGCTGAAAAACATAAAAGCATGCACAATGATGAAATTCTTATAAAGAAAAACCAAGTAATAAGTAAGCTGTAAATCAACAATAATACAACGAAAGCTTAAAATGATAATGTGAAACGATTTACAGGTAGGCATATAGCTTTTAATTTTAGAAAACAGTTAATTCAAGTCAACATCAACATGTGTTAAGTTTCTGACTTCTCAAATGTTTTGATACAAAAATGTTTCCAACTCCCATGTTTTATTGACCTTTTGTGATAAGAAAGTTAAATACAGTCCTAAGAAACACCTTATTCAAAAGTGACCTCATGAAGGTCACCTTTCTTGTTAAAATCATTTGTAATCCACATAATTCCAATAATATTTTCTCTTAAAATTTAAATAGAAGCATATCCATGATATTCCAAGTTCCACAACTTAAATTCATTTTGATTTGTCAGAAACAAGCTCTAAAATTAGGACTTAAAAAAAAAGTATTTAACAGAGACATGGAATTGATCTAAATTTCACTTTACATGTAAAAGAAAACGGCAATTCAGCATGAGGACACTTTTCATGAGTCTGATCCAAGCCTCCACTCATAGTCAGGCTAACCGTATTCTGCGGGAAGATAGGCATATGAATGTTGTACACATACACATACTAACGGACAGAGACTGATTCACACCACACTACTCTTCAAAGGTATTGTTTGAAATGGCTTATTCTCTGGTTTTGGAAAAGTAACGGAAGATAGAGAAAATTTCCCTCGATTTTTTTCCCTCCATTTTGCTTTTTATAATTCAATTGGTGTGTTTCATCTGGGTCACAAAATGATTTTGCAACAAAAACTGACCAACAGAAAGCAGAATTGTTATCTTAAAACACCAGAAAGCAGTTGTATTTAAATTATAACATAAAAACAGAGCATAAAAACAGACCTTTAAAAAGGTCTTCTTCCATGACTGAAAGCTGTGATTTGGTTCCTGGAACGTAGTAGCTCTTATTCTCACTTTGTAGCTCCATTTAAACCAACGGAAAGAACCAAATCTACTCAGTCCTGATGAATGATGTGAGGAAGGTGAATTTCTTGACACTGAACAAATGTGAGATGCCTCTGCAGAAGTCTGGGAAGCTTGCTCGGAGTGCCTGGTGAGTTCCACTCCAAGCCAGGCCCGCTGGCCGGCCACTCTTCACTGCTGGTCTACTGTGCAAGCTAGGAGCAGCACCACTGAAGGAAGGGGTCCGGGAGGAAGGAAGGGCCCAGTGCAGCTACCATGATAGCAGAAAGATGGTTTCTGAATCAAACAGTTGGCTAGATCAAAGAGAAAAGAGGCCAAAGGCACATGCTAGCAATGGAGTCGTGATGTTTGTGGGCTCCGACCACCTCAAAGACCTGGGGACTCCAGATCCAGACAAAGGTTCACAGTAATTACTCTGATATAAAAAATAACAGGAAACAATTTTGTTTTCAAGCACTTATGGCACAGATGTTGGGAAGTACTAATAGCGTAGCTTAAATCTTCAAAAGCTGGGCAAATTCAAGTTCTGTTGTAATGTATCAGTTGCAAATTTAACTTAAAGTTCATTCTGACATTTGATACATTATTCTCTTGTGCAGAGTATAGGGTATGCAAATTAAGTGTTTTGAATAAATATTAGAAATGTTAATTATTTTTCAAATACAAAGTAAAATCAGCTAATATCGCAATACAAAAAAAAAAAAAAAAAAAACACTGAACAGAATTTCTTTCCCCATGAACATTTCTTGCCCTTTTCCTTGAACGTACTCATACTTAAATTCAATTTCTTTCATGGGCTTGCACAAAGTAAGAAAAAGCCAAATATTGCTAGCTTCAAGATACTAAACAGTGATGAGTTTGGAGTCGTCAGGTTGTAAAAAAAAAAAACTGAAAATAACAAATAGAGTGAAATATGCTGCAAATTAATGTTAAAAATACAGCCCTCTAAATTACAAAACGACATCAAATTATACAATGCTAATAATCTTCGGAAGCTGACGTTAGCTCGTGGGAGGTGTAAAGAATAGCATAAGCTCCACTTGGCTTTTACCTTTCCAGCAGCTCCTGCAATAACGTTGAAAAACCACCTTATGTTTGCCCAAGATCATCTGCTTATCGGCTTTAGTCACAAACTCTATCTTATCCAATGTTCAATCAACAAGGCTTTATTTACACTTCTTACTAAACTCAGGAAACAAGTTGACGTACTAGGCAGCCACAACGGCGAGGCAAGGCAGCACATTTGTGGCTGGGGTGCCTCCTGCTCATGCTCTGATGGTGACCCACAGGCAGCCCAGCAGGGTCCCGTAGAGCCACGTATTCACATACAGTTTCCTTCCCGCCTCCGTGGTCAGCATGCCAGCAGTCAGTCCACTGAGGATCAACAGTGATGGCAAGGTCTTCTTGAGACTTAGTTTGGAATGAATACATTTCCCAGGAAATTTGTTTCTTCTTTCTGGATCCGGTGAATCAAAGAATTCTATGAGCAACCTATGGTCATAATGAAAACCAATACAATTGAAAGTTTCAGTTTAAAGACATTTCAGAAGGTCTTGGAAATTCAGGGGAGATTGAGATTTCTAGCCTTTCACACTCTATATAATTCATATGAACTGTATTTCATGTCTGACTTCAAACATTTCTCAAGGATGTCTTTGAACCTTGACCTTCAGTTTTGCAGCAACCTGACTCACAGGGAGTGGCTTGTTGCAGCTTCTCTCCCTCCTCCCATAGCCCCTATCACACTACACAGCCAAAAAAAGACCAGCAGTGCTTGCGATACACATGGAGAGGCCCAGCAAAGCCCTAGTTCCCATGGAACTATAAACACAAGTAAAAGAAGGAAAACAACAAGCATCTTCCCAACTTAAAATGTGTAGAATTCCAATAGCAGTACATGATTCGATAATCTCAAACAAAATCAGAAAGGAAAAATGCTTCTATTGCCTTATAAACTGCACTAGACATAACCACTGTTTTAAAATGTCTAGCCTCGTCCTAAATACATATAAGTATCTATACCATAAAATAAATGATATATTAAACATTGTTAGGTCTTTTTTCTAAAAATAGATTCCCATATCAATACACAGATATTATTTATTAAAGTTCTCCCATAACCAAAATGGCCCTGAATCACTAGTTTAATAAATTCCATCATGTATAACTGCATTGATGAAACATAGAAATTTAACAAAGTTTCATTTTCTACCTGCCACACTTTTAATACTTTTCTTAGGTTAACCCAGAAGGGCTAATTATGAGATATTTCACCATAATTCAAGGAAAAGAAGAACAACTAAGTCTCCTGAGAAGAAACATACTAATATATGTGTGTGTGTGTGTGTGTGTGTGTGTGTGGTGTTGGAATTAAACCCAGAACCTCACCCATGTCAAGCACTCTACTACTGAGCTCAACCCCAAATCCTCAAACAACACTTTTTAATATGGACTTAGTAAATGGACCCATTGGGGAAAAAAAACCAAAAAAAGTCTAAATGTTTAAAATACATCTTAAAAAGTAGGATACGCTTCAGAAAGTATAAAATTTTCATTTATAAAAGCAAAACAAGCAGTAAATATCCTGAAGTGTTCAACTGAAAAAATACTTTCTTGTAACAATAAATATCACATCTGAATTTAAGACTCACCTTTCACCTTTGAAAAGAAAATCCTAAAACTTCTCATATGAAATCAGAGACAGTGATGTTGCCTGCTGCAGCTCAGTGTGGCCCTGGGCTGTGCCTCACCTGAGAGGTATCCAGATATACCTGTAATTCACTTACAGGTAACCCTCAGCAAGGTTCAACTCTGTGCTATTATCGTGGACAAAAACATGGCCAAGACCAGAAACTACTTAGGCCCCAACATACTAACAACATAGAGACACCTTCACCATAAAAATGTCAACTGCCCCTTCCTCTTCCTACACACACACCTGCACTATGCCCACCAGCATGGGAGGCCCTGCCCTCTGCACCCCAGGATGGCGGCTGCTCCTTGTACAAAAGGAACACACCTTTGTCTGACCTGGGGAGGCAGACTCAAGCATCTTACACTGGGAAACTTCTCCTTTTTCCTTAAACTTTATATCTTACCACATAGTTCAGGAAACACTGACAGGTAGACAGCTCTTTTACACTGACTTGTAAAAGCAACGTATGAACAGATATGCAGGGAATAAGATACTACTTGAGTTTATAAAAAGTATTCTTGAGATAATAAAACTCTTTAAATTGGTTTCAAGTTATTTACTATAGTAAAATTTAAGTTTCTCGAATTGTTGTTACTCACTTATCTTTTATCTCAAAACGCTCATGAAGCCATCTTCTCATATACTCTTGTTCTTCTGGGACATCTTTCTTGTCTATACGAGCTATGTGAATATGAATTGTTGGACATTCTTTGCAGAGAAATTCTAATAAAGAACAAAAATATTTCACTTTTTGCTATTTTAGAACTCATGGTTATATAAAAGTGAACTGTAATGCATTCCGCTGTCATATATAAATTAAAAAAAAAATTAATTCCCAAGTACTTACACCTGATCCTCTTCCAGTGCTATACTGGTGTCCCTACTTTTTCATGAGACCACTTTTTTCCTTCTTTCTTTCTAGCTTTCAACATATGAGAGAAAACATAAAACCCTTGACTTTCTGGGTTTGGCTTATTTCACTTAATATTTTACTATTCAGGTTACTGCAAATGACATGATTTCATTCATCTTTATGACTGAATAAAATTCCACTGTATATATACACAACATTTTTATTCATTCATTGTATTCTATACTTTGTTATTCTAATTTGTACTGCCATAAACATGGATATACATACATTTCTATTTAAAAAAAAAAAAAGAAAGAAAATAAGGCAAAAAAAAGTATTGATTATAAACTGGTAGTCTGAAGTTTCCAGAGGCAGTGATGTGGTAATTTCCAAGTCTACTATAATTATGCAAGTCATTATTAAATAAACAGCACCATATGTTGTTTTCATACAACAACTTGTAATTCTCTAAGCATCCCAGGCATAGGAAGCTGGACCCTTACTAAAAGTCCACCTCATCCCTCTGAAGGGATGCCAGGATACTGATCACCATCAGACTCATCTCCAGTACCAACCCCCATCTAGCACAGCACCTGTTATGCATGGTTACTGCCACTTCCCCTAAAAGACTGGAGGCTTCTGGGGCAGAGGAGTCCATCTGGTTCACTACCACCTAGACCTCCCAGCCTGGTGAAGAGCTGGGCGGAAAGAGCCCTTCAGAGCTTTACTTCTGGTTGTAGGCAGACAGTTTCTTGTCACTGACTGCTCCACAGCCCGGAGAGATCTGGAGGAGCAGCTGCCTTTCCTCTCTCTTCTTGGCCACTGGCTATCCTTGATTTCCTGATCCTTGCCACATTTTAACAGATGACAATTGGTCTGGGAACCCAGATTCTTACTATGAAATAGCTACAAGCCCGTAAGTGACTGTTACTTTGAAGGCTTGCTAATATAGTAAAGGAGATGCTCTTTTTCTGCCTGGGCTGCCCAGGGATGAGGTGAGTGTTTACTGCAAGCCCCAGCCCTACTCCTAGCCCAGAGACCCCCTTGCAGACGGCTCTGTGGAAAGGAGAGCTCTCAACACACTGAAGTTCCTCAGGGAACAAGGAAATCATCCTCTGAAATTTAAGAGTATGTTTCCCTGGTAGGTGTGAAGCAGGACGCTGGGGCCTTTCTTCTCAGCATTGCCCAGTCTGAGGGGGCCTTCAAGCTTCTCCTTAAGCAGCCTTCACTCTCTTGGACTCTGTGGGTGCTCTTTACTTCTGCGTCAGGCCTTAGCGACATGTTGCACTTAGGTCATCAGAAACACCTGAGGAGGAGCAGGCAGCTTGGATGGCAAGGAGCCAAGCACTAAGCCAGGGAAGATGTCACTTGTTCAGTGTTTTTGTCTTCATTTTCCTCCAGGTCTATTTCATCTACATAATCCAAGAACTGCTTACAAACTGCTCTTTGAAGCAGAAGTGCGACTGGTCAAGAGCACAGGCAGTGGGAAGCGGGAGCTGGCCTCGATCCCTCACAACCCTAAGCAAATCTCCTAGGCTCTCTGTGCCCATGCACCCACGTCTGAACAGAGGATGACAGTCACAGCAGCTCCCACACTCCCTAGTCTGCCTATTCCTCGTTCTCAGTTCTCTAAATTAGTTAAGAGTGTCTGCTTACATTTACCCAAACTATTCTGCTCACTCAGAACTCTTTTTCTTCTTATGTATGACACAGATAATAGATCTAAGTCCTTAAAGCCCAGCATGTTTGAAAAAGAAATGTCATAATTTCTTCTTGTCAGACACTGATACTAAGTTTCATAAGTATTCTATGAAAAACACATTCAAAGATGAGCACTGGCTGTCAGTGCACACCTTGATATCACTCAGGACCACTTACCCTACCTTTGATTTACAGAGCTGTCCGTTTCTATGTATGAGCTTCAGGTAGAAAGAGGCTGAGATAAGGACTTCCAAAAGAATAATGCGCAGCCAAGAAGTACCAAACTTGGCAGGGCAGATGAAATTTCAACTGGAGCCAATTAATAGCATCTTGAAAAAGACACCAAGTAAATGGAATGCCTATTTTTGAAGAATGGTGATACTCTTAATAGACACCAGCCACTGACATGTGCTGTATTAGCACTGAGTCTCTAGCACACGAAAACCTAGACTTACCCGTCATGGACGGTGACTCTTCTCGCTCTCCTTTATTGTCTTTCCCTTGGTAAACCACTGTAACATCATAAATCGCATCTAAGTAGTTCTTCATAGAATCAAAAGCAACATAAGTTGCCTTTATTCTTGGTGTCAGCACATACTTTAATACTGGAAGGCCTAGAAAAGAAGTCAATTCAGTGTGCCACAAATTAGGAGTATTCTAAGTTTTCAATTGTTTTAAATTTCCACAAGTAGACAAGACAGACAAGTATTAATGCCATAACCTCATACCTATGGGCTTTAGCTTTGAAAGCACACCTCTCACAAGCCTTCTTCTATTTATGTCCACATTCCTTAATACAAACTAAACACTTACAGGCACAAGATACTGCATGGAGAGCTGCCAGAAAACAGGTCCTCGGAAACCCTTGGCTTCAGTACGCCCAGCCAAGGGCAGACGCTGGGATCCTCACTTCTGGCAACTGCCTCAGGCCACAGCATCCTGCCCATGACCACTCAAGATGTCTGAGCAGCACAATTCATAATTTATTACCCCTAGTCCATGACTCCTTTAATTCTACTTCTGCTCAAACTAAGACAGGGAGAGAGGAATCATGTAGATGACCTCCACTGTGTACAACATCTAATAAGAGCTCACACATTCCATATACTGCAAAATACTGACCTGATGTTTTAGGATAAACTGAAGAATACCACATCTTAGTGTAGTATTTTTTAATGAAGTATACAATCTAGTGGCTGAGTCTATTCAGAACTGTCAGTCATCATCACTAAGGCTAGACTATCCCCACTTCCCCACAGACACCCCATAGCACATATGTGGACTCTGCACACGCCACTCACTTGTGACGACCACTGCTCTGCCTGCTGTCTCCTGCTTACTCTGAACATTCCACATAAATGAGCTCTGACACTATGTGACCTTGTGTGACTGGTAGCTTCCTTACTTAGCAGAATGATTCCAAGGTTCACTTGCTCTTGCATGCATCAGTTTATCCATTCCTTTTTATGGCTAAATACTATTCCACTGCATGGATGGAACACATGTTTTACCTGTTCATCATTTGATGGCATGTGAGTTGTTTCCACTCTTTGGCTCTTAGGAATCATGCAGCTATGCACATTCACATAAACTCCATATGAATTCTGCCCACTGAATAAGTTATTGTATCAACATATGATCTTAATTCTCTCAGGTATTTCTTATACTTTTTAAAACTTCTTGGATGAGAAAACATTGCAATTATAGACAACTAACAGAATGTCACCAGTGTCTCTACTTGTGTGAAGGATTTGCAGTTCCCCTTCTATTTTCTGCTGCCTCCCCCTGCCTGGATTAGCACACTGACCAGTTTAAGGGAAAGCCGCACGTCTCTAGACATGCCTTGAACACAGACCACGGAGAACCTGACTTGGATCCTCTGCCTCCTCTTGCTGAGTCCTGCTCTGGCCCTCATGACTATTGGCCAAGAAAGGCCCATGGCTCTCACTGGTCCTCTGCCTTCACCCCTATTCTGAAGCTCCCTCAAGAAAGCGCTGTCCCTGTGTTTCTCCCCTACCTGGACTTGTGCTCAGGCCCCTCGGGGCTGACGCACACCCCCCCTCAGGAGCCCTGCCCACTGGCATCCTGCACAGCCCAGCTTCAGTGCTTCTTCCCATAAAATCTCCCCAAACCACACCTAGAAGTGGTTCAGCCTCTGTGGACTTACTCTTTTCTGTGTTCTGGTTTTATGAAACTATGTAAAAACCTAAACAAGACTGAGGCAGGTGACCTCTAAAACAGCTCCAGTAACCCCTGCTCCTGTGTTCATGCCCGAGTGGGGCTGGACCTGGTAGCTGGCTTCTAAACAACAGAATACGGCAAAAGTGACAGACGCCACTTCCAACATCAGCTTGCAGGGCTGGGCCTCCTGTCTTGCCCATTCTTGCTCCAAACTCTTTATTTTTAATCCTAAATTATAGTTTTATTTACATTTAAAAATACATTGGAAATTCTGAATATGCCCATGATCAAGCTTATTTTCAATGTACATTACTTCAGTTTTGATGTCATGGTTTGTTCTGACAAGTCCTTTTACAGACTCAACACCAAAATGGGGAAACCCCTATAGATTTTTGCTGGCATTGCTGCCGATGATGTACACTGCTCCCTTGCTAACAGTGATGAGTGACTCTAATCGGCTCCTTGTCACCTCAACGTTTTCTGGCCATAAGGACGATAACTGTGAGCTGATGAGCTGTGGTGCATCTACCAAAGCACCTGAAGGTCAATGCCATCAGCATGATTGAAAACTGTAGCTGCCAAAGAAGCCACCACGTTTAACTGAACTGCTGTGTTTGCCTTGCTGATGAGCGTTAGTTTTAACACAGCAACAGTTCAGCAAGGATTGAAATACTTAGTGTTTGTGGTGGTGGAAAAGTTCAATATCTGAAATAAAAAACAGCAGCAATTACTACATCTCTTGAAATTATCCCATTAGTAAGTGGAACTGGAATAAGACCTTCATAGGTCAAGCTAACATGGAAGATACTGATAAGGACTTTATCAGCAAGTGGATCAAGAGCACTTCCCAAAGATGATTTTTGATTGGCCCAGTTTCCAGCAATAAATCATCCAACAAATCAGTTAGCCCAGCTAAAGCAAAAACTCCTAATGCAACATTAAAATCTTCAATAATCAAATATCCCCAAGCCGGGGCCATGCCAAGGTACTCACTGACACCCTCTCTGGAACTGTCCATGAATGTTCATGGGGACTGGCAGTGCTCGCTGAGATCCACTCACCTTTGGGACCTCCTTTATGGGCCGGCTGCCGCAGGGCAAGTGCTATGGGTGCAGCAACCAAGCTTGGCCTGGCAGCTCAGGCAGGCGGGCACAAGTGGGCAACTTAGAGAAGTTCCCCTACAGAACTCAAATGTTCTGAAACCCTAACATTTGTCCCACTGAAAATCCAAAAATCTTATTTAATGATGAGATTGCTATTTTTTTCCCTAAAACCTATAAAATTATGAAATACAATCAGACTCTACTGTGGAACTTTTCTGAGATTAATGTTAACATGAACTGAAACTCTCTAAGGGAAGTACATAAAATACAACATTATCTAAACCCACCTGTACATGAAACCCTCTTCTTAACACTGCATGGACTTCATCACAGAATCAAGACTGTAAAGCCTTAAATAAAACTCAGTGACCTCATTAGGAAGACTGCTGTCAGCAGAGGGGCAAAAGGAGGCACAGTGGAAAAGACAGGAGCAAGTACTCAGGGAGTAACTTTTTTAAATTATTTTTTTATTTGTTTTAATCAGTCATATATGACAGTAGAATGCAGTTATGCACTTTAATATACCATCCATAGGTGGGGTATGATTTCTCATTTTTCTGAGTGTACAGGGTGCAGAATCACATTGGTCATGCAGTCACACAGACACATACAGTGATAATGTCTGCTTCCTTCTACTGTCTTTCCTATCCCCACATCCCCTCCCGCCGTCCCTCCCATCAGTGCCCTCTACCTAATCTAAGGTAATGCTATTCTTCCCTAGTGTCCCCCCCTTATTGTGAATTAGCATCCGCATATTAGAGAAAACATTTGGCCTTTGTTTTTTGGGATTGGCTTAATTTTCTTAGCATGATATTCTCCAAGTCCATCCATTTACTAGCAAATGCCATAATTTCACTCTTCTTTAAAGTGGAGTGATATTCCATTGAGTATATATGCCACATTTTCTTTATCCATTCATCTACTGAAGGACACCTAGGCTGGTTCCTAGTCTAGCTATTGTGAATTGAGGTGCTATAAACATTGATGTGGCTGCATCACTATAGTCACTGATTTTAAGGCCTTTGGGTATAAAGGAGTGGGACAGCTGGGTCAAGTGGTGGGTCCATTCCCAGCTTTCTGAGGAATCTCCATACTGCTTTCCATAGTGGTTGCAGCAATTTGCAGTCCCACCAGCAATATAGGAGTGTACCTTTTTCACCATATCCTCACCAATATTTATTGTTGCCTGTATTCTTGATGACTGCCATTCTAACAGGAGTGAGATGAAATCTTAGAGTAGTTTTGATTTGCACTTCTCTAATTGCTGGAGATGTTGAACACTTTCTCATGTTTGTTGACTGATTGTGTATCTTTTTCTGTAAAGTGTCTGTTCAATTCCTTAGCCCATTTATTGAGTTATTTGTTTTCTGAGTGTTAAAGTTTTTGAGTTCTTTATATGTCCTAGAGATTAATGTTTTATCAGAGGTGCATGTGGTGAAGATTTTCTCCCAGTCTGCAGGCTCTCTCCTCACGTTATTTATTGATTGCTTCCTTTGCTGAGAAAAAGCTTTTTATTTTGAATCCATCCCATTTATTAATTCTTTATTTTACTTCTTGCACTTTAGGAGTCTTGTTAAGGAAGTCAGATCCTAGGCCAACATGGTGAAGATTTGGGCCTATTTTTTCTTCTATTAGGCTCAGGGTCTCTAATCTAGTTCCTAAGTCTTTGGTCCACTTTGAGTTGACTTTTGTGCAGGGTGAGAGAGAGAGGTTTAACTTCATTTTGCTACATAAGGATTTCCACTTTTGCCAGCGCCATTTGTTAAATAGGCCATCTTCTCTCCAGGGAATGCTTTTGACACCTTTGTCTAATATGAGATAACCGTATTTATGTGGGGTTGTCTCTGTGTCCTCTATTCTGTACCATTATTCTACAAGTCTATTTTGGTGCCAATACCATGCGGTTTTTGTTAACTATAGCTCTGTAGTATAGTTTAAGGTCTGGTATTGTGATGCCTCCTGCTCCACTTTTCTTGCTAAGGACTGCTCTAGCTATTCTGAGTCTCTTATTTTTCCAAATAAATTTCATGATTGCCTTTTCTATTTTTATGAAGAATGTCACTGCGATTTTAATAGAAAATGCATTAAATTTGTATAACGCTTTTGGTAATATGGCCAGTTAGACAATATTAATTCTGCCTATCCACAAGCATGGTAGATCTTTCCATCTTCTGAGGTTTTCTTCAGTTTCTTTCTTTAGTGTTCTGTAGTTTTGATTGTAGAGGTCTTTCACCTCTTTTGTTAGATTGATTCCCAGGTATTATATATTTTTTGAGGCTACTGTGAATGGGGTAGTTTTCCTAATTTCTCTTATGGATTTACTGCTGATG